GCTGTCAGGAGCTGGATTCTGCTGAAAGACAAAACTCGGTTTATTTCAAGCCTCGGGTGAAGCCCGTTGGAAGCTCCCTCTGTGTTGTAAGAGGATGCTTGGTCTGTAGTAACTTAATGCGCCTGGAGGGGGTGTGCGGCGATTTCGTTCTTAAGAGTTTCGGCGAACGGCTGGAGGCGAAGCGTTCTCGTGGCGTGCGTCTCGGTGTGTGCCCTGCGGGCGCTATGAGTGGTTTACTATATCGGCAAGCTAAGTAGGCTGAGATGGTTAGGAAGGAGGAAAGCTGCTGCTCTGCTCTGTGACTTTCGCCGTCTCCTCTCGGGGGGTGTTGGGAAATAATCGGTCTAACAGGAAAACTAAAAAGAAATTAGAATCCTTGAGAGCGCTCCTTCTGGGAGAACTCTCTGGAGCTTATTATTATACTCGCTTATTTTTATATAACACAAGGAGAGCTCTCTACCTTTTGGGTAAGGTCTTGCTCTGCAGTTAAGAGCACGCCTCCTGTTAAATGTGCCCAATTGAATCGCTGGATAGGCAGCTTAAAAACTTAATTGTCTGGAACTACACAGTGAAAAGCTAGATCTCTCTCTCTGAGAAGTCTATTGCTTCAGTTTCACTTCCTCAAGAAGAGTGAGGAGATACCTAAGATATAATTGTTCTTTTATCGTATGCTTCCAGAGTACTGGTAACTGAGCCCGCTTCTGCAAGATGGGAAGCGGCCTATGATATGTGCCTTTTGTAAAAAAAAAAAAAAAAGCTTGTGAGGGCTTTTTGGAAAGATTGTTTCTACTGCAGGTGTGAATGCTGTTGAGCGCAGGAAGTGGGATGCCTAAGAGTATCTGCGCTGAAGTGGAACTGTTAGGCTTAGCTAGCTTGAGTCGTTGCGGTGAAGTGGATACCTGTCTGCGTCTGACTTAAAATGATGACTAAATCCTTGCTTACCACCAAAAAACAAAGATGCGCTGCCTGTTTCTGCTCTTGGGTCCGTTCTGCTGCTGATATTTATCTCGGGGAATGTGAAAAGAGAGAAAACGGATCCCTGAAGCCATGGGCTGCTTGGTGTTGCGTGCTCTGTAAAAATAAATAAATAAATAAAAAGACTTAAGTCAATAGCAAATATTTGTACACAGTATCTACTGCAAAAGTACGTGTCAGACTTGCTCTATTCACCAAGTGAAATTGCCCAGTATGTTGCCAGCGTTTGCGCTGTTGCGGCTGTAGCTCTGGACAGAAGTGTTTCTTGAATTCGGTAGAGCTTCTCGAGCTTGAAGGTGGGTGCGCCGTCCCGAGAGCGGACTGGCCAGCGACTGTCCCGCAGATAAAATCTTCTGCTTTCCTTTTTTAAGGTGAACTCAATGAGAGCTCTCCAGTTTCTTGGTAGGTAACCTGAGCTAGCGCTTCTTGGCAAAGCC